ATTCAAAGCATGTGAAAATGAGAATATCAAATTAAAGAAAGAGATTTCCGAGGCTAGGAATGATGCCCTTAAGATTTCTAATGATCGACAAGCTCTTTGTGCAAAACTCTTGACTTGTGAGACAGAGAGGAATGAGCTACAACAAATCTATGCAACATATGAAGAAAAGATTGAAACTCTCGAGATGTCTCAAGTTTCTTTGGAATAACTAATGGTCAAGAAAGAGGAAGAAATCAAGTGTGCTATGGCTACCATTGGTCTTTGGAACAGAGCATCAAAGACTTTGGACAATATCATTGGGTCTCAACAAGTTTATTCTGACAAGAGTGGCATTGGCTTTGGTGGTAAGAAAGAGCAGAAACAGAGTGCTTCCACATCTCATGATACAAGAACTCAAGGAAAGGGCGAACAAAAAATTCAACATGAGGATGGTCTTCTCAAACTTCCTAGAGTTGGTAAGGCCAAAGAAAAGAAGGTACACTATGTTTTTATTTGTCATCATTGTGGTATGTATGGTCATATTCGTCCTTATTGTTATAAGTTGCATGGGAGAGTGTCTCATAGAGATGGAAGAAATTCCAACATCTCGTGGGGTAGGAGACACTTCATTGGTAGTAATGAGGTTAAAGGTCATATTAGACCTCGTTATTTCGATCAGCTTGAGACCAAGCATGAAGTGAGTTTGTATTTGCCTAGACCTAGAAATAGGAAGTTGGAAACCATGTCGAGACAGGTTCCCATTGAAAGGGAAGGGAACCACAACGTCAAGACACCGTCCAAGAACCGCAATTCTCACAATTTTTTTCATACTAAAGCGGTTTGGGTGAGAAAACTTGACTTGTGTTAATTTGCTTATTCGTTTTTGATTTTGGGTTTCTGTGTGTTTTTTTCCTTTTGAGTCATTTAATGTGTGCATGTTTGTTTTCTGTCTTGCTTTGTTTCAGAAAAAGAAAAAAAAATTCGTGCTTGTTCATTTTTTTGTCTTGCTTTATTTGTGAAAAAAAAAACAAAAAGATTTTCTTAGTATAGTTTTGCAAGCTTGAAATTTTTGAGATACCCTTGGTGCAAACTAGAATTGATGAGAATATCCATTACTTGTTAATATGTGTGTGCTTTTTGTGGTCATTACTTATTTTGGAGTGTGTGTTCTTTGATTAGTATGTCAAATTCTGTACTCACTCTTGGATTAGCAAATTCTGGAGTCTTCCGCCTTAGTGATTATTTTTTATGGACTTCTGGCATTGTATCTTTTGCTTTTCTAGAGGAATTGACCTATACTAGCATATCTTGGGTGATATCCATTACTTGTTAATATGTGTGTGCTTTTTGTGGTCATTACTTATTTTGGAGTGTGTGTTCTTTGATTAGTATGTCAAATTTTGTACACACTCTTGGATTAGCAAATTCTGGAGTCTTTCACCTTAGTGATTATTTTTTTCTATGGACTTCTGGCATTATATCTTTTGCTTTTCTAGAGGAATTGACCTATACTAGCATATCATGGGTGATGCTGAGTCTCTTAACCACTTTCTATCTTTTTGCATCTCCACGGCTTTCCCCTCTGTTCTTTGTAGTCCAGCCATCAGGAAAAGGCTACCTCAGAGTCACCAACCAAGACATCCTTATTATATCCATACTTCTCTGGTTCGGTTTCCATACTCTTGAGCGTGTCAGCCGCCAATGAGTGTGCAAAAGAAAGAAAAAAATGTGCAAAAGAAAGAAAAAAAAAAAAAAAAAAAAAAAAAAAAAGATGTGCAAAAGAAAGAAAAGAAAAAGTTATGAAAAAAAAGAAAAAAAATAAAGGATTCATTGATTGAGGGAGAGCCTCCGCCTTTACTCACCAAATACCCCTTGATTCCTAGTGGTTTGACTTTCCTTTGTTGTGCCTAGATTCTCTTGCTAGAGGTCCAACTATCAGATCACTACTAGGATTTGAATCTCGTGTTTGTCGAACTCCAAGAGTCACACACACACTTTTCTCATGGGATCTATGCTTTTCACATGATGCATCACTTTCTTTTATGAGGAATCTTCTAGAGGTTGTGCACATTGTGTTTTCAAGTAATTGTGCTTCTTGCATAATCTTGTGTGTTTTAAGGTACAAATCTGAAAATTCCTTGCTTGCTCCACCATATTATTTTGTGTTGTTTTCTTCTTATTCATTTTTTTTTAGTGAGGGGGAGTTTGGTTTACCTTTACAAGAGTTTGTTAGCATAAACACTTTGATTTGTTTGGTAAGGGAGATTGGCTATAATTGTTTTGCATGTTGCTATGCACTGTTTGCTTATTATTTCCTTCTTGCATGCTCCTGATATTTACATTATCATATCATTGCTTGTGTGGTTTATGATCTTGCTTTAGCAGATTGCGCTTCTTGTGTCAATTCGTGACAAAAAGGAGAAGAAAGTTGTTTTTCATGTCTCTTAGGATTTGATGTATTCATGTCATGTGTCAGGTGCATATGTCTTAGTTTTCATCTATCCATGCTACATATTCTTAAAATCTTCAAGTCACATATATTCATGTTTTTCATCTCATACTTCAAGATAATCTTGTCATATGTTTATTGCTTTTTTCATATACTCTTGTAGGACTAATAGTTGTTTTGGAGATTGTGGCACCGATAGTTGTTTTGCAGATCATGACCTTGCGAAAGAAGTTTGTGTTTGTTGGCTGTAATGGGTTGGGGTGATTAGGATTTTATTTGTTAGGTGTGTTTTGTCACGGCATTGCCAAAGGGGGAGATTGTTAGGTTTTTATTCTTGGCAACCCCGTTTGAGAAAACTCCTTTCAGTTGTATTTGTTTTCACACTTTTTATTTCAGTGAGGCTATAAGTTTATTAGATGCGAATCCAACCCGAATCGAGCCTTGCAGAGAAGTTTGTGATGTTAATGCTTTCAAGATTGCCACTTCGCTGATTATGACGGGGGTCGAGCTGCCCGGTCAGCTCACGGGGTCGAGGGGTAGCGCCCCTGACCTGTGATTAGTGAAGGAGGTATGTAGGGCTCACAATTTATGTTTGGTGATGATGGAATAGCTAGGGACCTAATGCATTGCGATTGGTATGTGTGGCATATGCCACATGATGCCCCATGAACACCAAATTATTTTTTATATAGAAAAATGTATAGAAATATTTGAAAAGAATGTGAAACGTAAATGTTCTAACTATTTTCACATTATGGATGTGATTAGTAAAAACCCATTTCTTTATATTTGGACAGACTGATGAAGATTTTGAGTCGAAATCTTGGAAGTTTGAAAGCCATTTTTTTTTTAATTTTTTGGATTGACTAATGCTACTGTTTTCTTATTATTAAAAAATAAAATAAATGAGTATTTTTCTTTCATGTGAAAAAAAAAAGAAAAAAAAAAGAAAAAAAAAAGGGACAGAGGAGTGAGATGAGACAGCTTGGTTGGGTTTTAATCCAAGTTAGGGACATCAATTTGCTCTGCCTTGTCCCGCCTCCCTACCCCAATTTTTTTGGATTTTCTCCGCCTCCGTAAGAAAATAGCCTGATTTGTTTGGATTTTCTCTACCTCCGTAAGAAAATAGGAAGGGGGTGGTTTTTCCCGTCCCCATCCTGATTATATTAAATAATAATTTTTTAGAAAAAAAAATTGGTGTTCTTTACACACCATATGCAACTTATACAAAATTACATAAGTTTTTACGAACTCACATAAATAATCTCACAAAAATGCGTATGTTCAACACAAATTCGCATAATCACATAATTTTTCATGAATTTATGCAAATTTGTATTCAACTTATGTATTTTTGTGTGATCACTTATGTAAGTTAGTAAAAACTTAATTTTGTGTGAAGTTGCATACCGTGCAATGCTCCACCGGAGCATTTTGCCTATATCTATATATAATTTAAATCATATTGGTTTGATTAACAATAACTTTATATCTCAAGAAAAAAATTATTTATTTATTTATTTATTTTTTTGTTTTCGACTTGTTAAAATCTTGGTTGGTGTTATTTTATTCTGAAAGTTGAGTTTTAGAAATTAATTATTATACTAAATAGGGTTGCAATATGATTGTCTTTTCTTTTCTTTAAATTTCAATTTGATGTCCTATATTAACAAAAAATATTTAAGCTCAATTTTACGATCCCCTCTTGAATGAATACGACAAATTATATCAACAATTCTCCACCCGCACTATCCCTATTTTCCATCACCTCATCCCTGCCCCAACAAATTAAGGGACGATAAAGAGGACTAGAAACGCACCCCGCCCAATTGCATTCCTAATCCAAGTATCCACAAATCATGACCCATAAATTTTCCTTGTTGCTCCAGTATTCTGTTTCCACTCTCCCTTGTAAATACTTATCATGTGATCATTTGGCAACTCCTATTCTTACGCTGTATTTGGTTGGGAGATTTACGAAGAGATTTGGAAAGGAAAATGAAAAATGTGTGTAAAACTATGTGAAATGTAGATATATTTTATTTACATTTCAACTACATTTTCCATTTCCCTTTCCAAATCTCTCCTTAAATCTCCCAACCGAACACAGCATTAATTTCGACAATATCATGTGATCATATATGTCAATTGACTATGTCAGCCCACATACTAGTTTCCTGGTGAATTTGCTAGTATTTCAGGTAACCCTTTGGAAGGCTATATGTATTCCCAACATTTTACCAGCCTTACACAGATTTGTTTGTCATCACATAGCAATTTTAGTGGTCAATTATCCCATGCTGGTGGGTAAACTTGACACAACATGCTTATTTCGACATTTCAAATAATGCAGGTCTAGTTCCATCTTTGGTTTATAATCATTCATCGTTGCGGTACTTGTCCCTTGCTGATAATCAACTCACTGGTCCAATCCAAGAATTCACAAGTAGTATATTGGATGTTAGATTTGAGCAAGAATGACCTGCATGGCCCCATTCCATCACTTTCAACAGCTCACAGTTTCATCTCGCATAACAAATTCACTGGAGAGATCCCTTTGGTGATTTGCAACATGAGTTCCCCTATAATCCTTGATTTGTCTCATAATAGCTTGAATGGTGTAATTCCAGAGTGCTTGGGAAACTTTAGCAATGTACTCAGGGTGTTAGATCTTGGGATGAATAACTTCCGTGGAAACATTCCTGTCACAATTGCAAAACAAAACAAGTTGAAACATTTTCCCGTAAGCTCTCTTGAGGTTCTTAATTTGTCTCATAATAACCTGAGTGGTGTAATTCCAGATTGTTTGGGGAATTTCAGCAATGCACTCATGGTGTTAAATCTTGGAATGAATAACTTCCATGGGAAAATTCCAACTATATTTGCAGAGGGAAACCAATTGAGGAATATTGACTTAAATGGGAATCAATTGGAAGGTCCCGTGCCACGATCTTTGGTAAATTGTACACACTTGGAAATTCTAGACTTGGGAAATAACATTATAGATGACACATTCCCCTACTGGTTGGAGTCTCTTCCAGAATTGCAGGTTCTTATCTTGCAATCAAATAGATTTCATGGTCCAATAAACACTTCGAGGATTAAAGTTCCCTTTCCTAAGCTTCGAATCATAGACCTCTCTCACAATGAGTTCACTGGACTTCTGCCAGTAACATATTTCAGAAATTTCAAAGCCATGAGACATGTGGATAAAAATAAAACAGCCTTGAAATATATGGGGGAAAATTATTATCAAGATTCTGTAAAACTAGTCATAAAGGGGTTGAATGTTGAACTATCAAATATTCTATCCATCTTCACAACAATTGACTTCTCAGACAATAAATTCAAAGGAGAGATTCCAAATGTCATCGGAAGGCTACAAGCTCTCCGATTGCTTAATTTTTCTCATAACTCCCTGACGGGTGATATTCCATTATCATTGGGAAATCTATCAATGCTTGAATCATTAGACCTCTCTTCGAACCAACTCACTGGGGATATTCCAGAGCAACTCACGACTTTGACGTTTCTTGCAGTCTTAAACCTTTCAATGAACCATCTAGTCGGACCCATACCTCGAGGCTATCAATTTGATACATTTCAAAATGATTCATATGTTGGGAAAGTGGGATTATGTGGATTACCCTTGTCAAAGGAATGTGGAGATACTGAGGCAAAACATCAACCACCTCTTGTATTTCAAGAGGAAGGTGATACAATTTTTTTAGGTGGATTTACTTGGAAAGCTGTGGCGATGGGGTATGGATGTGGAATGGTATTGGGATTGGTTATGGGATATGTCATGTTCTTAATTGGAAGACCAAAGTGGTTTGCCAGAATTGTTAAAGGAGAACAACATAGGAATGTGAAAAGTATAAAGCAGATTGGTTACCAAGGAGGTATGAGAAGAAATCAACAAACTTAGAAGGCGTTTTCAGGTATGATGTTGAAGTTCTGCATTTACTTGTATTAAATTAATAAAAATATCCATTTTCATGATTGTCACATCTATAGTTAATGTAACCTAACATCATAGACAGTTGGCATTATATAAAGGTGTGGAAATAGTTTCATATTTTTTTTTTATCAGCAAAGAAAAATAATACATAATTGTGCACGAAATTAAATTTTCTCAAAATATGATTTTCCCAAGAGTTAAATGCCTATTTGGTGTGATTTTAGTGTTTTAGAAAACATGAAAACTTGTTCTCAAAACTATATCCGAAATATATTTTTGAAAATTTTTTTTGGAAACAACCTTTTCAAGGAACACAGAAAAGTTAACTTTTAATTTTCAAAAATTATTTTCACAAAATGAAAACCTTGTGACATTTTTTTGATTAAAAGAAAATGTGCCAACAAGTGACTTTAGGGAATGGTTAGTACCAGGATTAGGGTGAAAAATG